ATAATAGTCCTTTTCTTTTTTTTAATAAGCTTTTATTATGGTCATAGACTGGCATGTGCACATAAAATCCATCAAAATTCATAAATACAACAGTAGAAAAGGATCCAGGAAGCAACAAAGTAGAAGCTTTCAATGGATAAAAGATGTGACAAGCTTTGCCCACATGTGAATCGAGTCAAAAGCTGTCTTTAAATCAATAAAAGGAACATATTAAGTATCTCTCTGACATTAAGAATATTTTCCTACTAGATAATCTAGTATAGAACATCTGGACTTGAATCTGGTTTGCTCCTGAGCCCAAACTTTGTCTTGGATCAACCAGTCAGTCAGCTTTCAATAAAGGTGCCTGTTGGTACAGCTGAGAATACTTAGAAGGATAATCGGGCTGAAATGTTTCAAGTTCCTTTCTTAAAGAGTGGAACTGTGATGGACAGATCCTCAGGGATCTGGAGAGAATGGTCAAGGGAGGTGAATCAAGAGGTGGTTAAAGAAGCCCATCAGTCAGTAGTTTGTAGTTAAGGACTCTGTAGGGGATCTTAATTCAACTTTCCCTTAGTATAAACTAAGGCGTCTCCTCTTCTTGCTTAATGGAGCAATCTCATGTAGAGAGCTTGGTGATGATCCAGATACTGAGATCCAGATATCGGGCGCAGGAGTGTGTCTCCTGCACGCAGGGGTAGAATATCCTTTAAGGAATCGATGGTTATTATCATGCTTTGTAAACTTGATTTGATATAATCAAGGTCCTATATTAAATTCATTCGCTCCTCCTGAGAAGGCCTAGTAAGAGGTTGCATTCAGTCAAATTTACCTCCCTCCTTTGGCCTAATGGATTTTTTTCTGAAGAATATTATGTGGAACAATGTTAACAGAAACGGGCGTGGATGTATCCTCCCCTTCTGCCTTGGCAAGCTTCCCGGGAGTAAGAAGGGCAGGCACAGATATTATGAAATACTCCTAGTTGGCACAATTCCAAAGCTCTGTAGAAAGTGTTTGAGTCTTAAGAGTATTTGGGGTAGTACTGGTTGTTGAAACAACAGCACAAGCCTCCTAAAGCCTTGGCAGTGTGGAAGGCATGTTATAAATAAATATGGATGGATGGATTGATTGATCAATTTGATACGGCTGCCCATCTCATAAGAAGTGACTCTGGGCAGTGTACAACAATCAAATAAAAAACAAATATATAAAAACAATCAATCTAAAAATACAAAAAATCATTATTAAAATTTAAAATATTATTAAAAATTAAAAATATATAAACCACAAGGCATGGAGAGAGTGAAGATATCAACCACAATAGTGGAGCCATCTGAGAATGTCTCTGGTTCCCTGATGGTGCCTTTGTCATGTGGAACCCAGTGTCCATGACCAGGATGCTATATTTGGCTGCCCAAACAGTCAGCTCTCAACAAGCAATTCATTGCTATACTTCAGCTGTCATGTGAGCCATATCTGGCACCTCTGTGTGAAGCAGCTCCCAGTCCGGGCCTGGGTTCTGTAATTTAAGAATTGGTGGGATGTTCAGTGGCAGCTTTCTCTCAGTCTCACCAGGGAGCTGTGTTGGTAAGAAACATGCCCTATAACTCAACTGGACCAAATGTTTGAGATGCAGTAGATATAAGTTTCAAGGCCTGTTGTTCATAGCATCCCAACACTTCCACCCTGCATGAGTGATGTAGGAATGGGGGTGATACATGAAGGCATCTGGTAATCAGGGGCAACTGGATGGAGGAGAAGTCACTGGAATTCAGCATACCCCACCAGGAAGAATGGTTGGTCATCCACGGCATAATCTATGTGATGGTATGCCTGATGTCTTTGGACCATCCAGCTGCTTGCCATTTGATGGCTGCCTCAACTGCTGATACAAGCAGCTTGCTCTATTGAGAGCTGGTGCCCTGCTGTTAGTTGGCAGCATAGGCTGCCTAATACTGCCAGAGGTAGGAAGGAACTTGGATGATGCCTAAATAGATGTTTAAGCATCCCTGGAGTCAAAAGATACTAGTGTCTTGCCCCCGTTGACCCATGCCTTGCAGTAATTGTAGAAAATAATATAGATCTTCAAGCAGAAGATTAAACTACTTCCATACCTTGCTGCCTCAGGGCCGTATCTTGCCCACTTGAGTGTAGTGGGTGGTTTGCTGGCATGCCTGGATCACAACTACCAGTACATAATGTGGAGGAGGCAGTTCCTTCTTCTCCTGGCCTTCACCCTCAGCCCCTGGGTTGCTAGCAGTCAGCTGACTTCCTGAAGTGTGAACACCACCATGTCCTTTACTTGCATGGCAGGAAGAGCTCTTCCTTTAACACTGGGTCCTTCTTCACTTCACCCATCCCAGTGCTGGCTGGAAGCAACCCTGCTGCCCCAGAAGCAGTGGACATAGTCAAGCTTTCTTACAGCCACTCCCTTCCTCCTTTCTTGACCAGTAAATCTTGGCCAGATCCTCCCTTTGGCTAGCCCTCCACAGTGACTCTCCCAGAGTGCCATATATTCCTTAAATGCCTGCTGCTTCATTCCAAAACCCAACCCTGATCACACACACTCTAAACCTAAGCCAATAACAGCAGGGACATGACCAATCCCTCTCAATGTACTGGCCGAGGTAGGACAATTCAAAAGACAAAGCCCCAAAGCGCAAGAGACAAGACAATTTCCAATCACAGCAGCTAAAACAGAGCAAGACATTCGAAACACTTATACCCAGACCAAAACCAACACTCCATTTCAGTCTCTGCTGGAACAAAACATCCAAAACACGTATGCATAGGTTTGGCCACAAAAACACTTGTTCTATGCAAGCAGTTTACCCATAAATATTTTGTACAACTCTAGTTCAATGCACAGCTTTCTTACTGTCTTTGCGGTTTGGGGGTAATGGAAAACAAATTCCATCAATGCCCAAATGTCACCATTTAGCAAAAAGTTTCTGCACAATGCCATACTGCTCTTATGTGATGTTTTTGGATTCCTTGCAGGCATCTACAGCTTCACAGAGGTCAGCTGGGCGGGAAACAAAATATGTAAGTATTTCATAACAAGGCCTTCATATCTGTTTTTAATAGCAGGACTCCACCTTTGAGAGGACTTCTCAGCATGTATAGAGAACAGCCTCCAATAATTGAATAACTGAAGTCATTCCCCAAAAACTACAGCTTAGGTTAAGGGCTTGCAGAGCTGAGAATAGCATTTCTTTCTCTTGCTCTTTCCATTCCGAATTAAGCACTAATCAAAGTATCTTGCAATTTCATTAGAAACAAGAACGCTGCATTCAAATTCACATTATGAGTTGTAATTGCAATAATTTTTACATCTGTCAGACTGAATGACAGAAATTCATCTCTAAGGAATGACAAGCATACACATTTTAGAAAGCATTGGATTTTATTCATCTCTTTTCTAGCAGCTGTCATAAATTTCCGTGGAGAAGACATGTTCAAACTAAGTTGGATTTTCTTCCACTTATTTATCATAAAGAAATATAGAAGGATAGTAACTGCATTTTCCTTTATATCAATAACAAACTGCTGAAAAACAGGGTGAAAAACCAATGGAAGGCTTTAATTTCTCTTTGATGTACATGGTACAGACCTTAGTAAAGAGTTTCATTAGGACTACCATGCGTGAGAAAATCCAGCACACATGCATTATTAATCTTATAACAAGACTTCTTGTTATTCATATCTTTACAAGAAACATGGGCTGTACCACTCTTCAAGCAGAGGACACTCTCAAAATAGAGGGACATCTGGTATAAAATGAGCCTTATAGTCATCTTATTTATAACCAAGCTTCTTGATTTTTCTGATAGATCAATGGACAGCTCCAAGGAGAAACAATATACAACGGGTTTAATTTGTTCTATATTGCTTAGTCAATAAAAGAGGCAGAGAGAGAGAGGTGGCAAATTCTATTCTGCCTATGTTATGCCAGCCCTCTCTGATCAGAAACCAAAATAGATCATTCTGTCATTCTGCTGAAATATTGTCACTGTCATTGTGCAAGAAATATACAGTTGTTGTTGTTTTTGCTATAAATATGGACGTTTCTATCAAATAGGACTCATCTCTAGTATGTCTATAATGTAAAGATGGGTGCAGTGAATAGTTTAGATTGCTAGTGGACATTTTTTAGCAGCTTTTCCTCTTTGCTTACATCTCAAGTGGTTCTACAATATTGTGATGATTTTTGTTTGTTTATATTAAAAAGGAAAGAAAAAAATTCTGGCCCCTCAGCTCATTTTCCACTTGTAAAGTCAACATGTGTATAGTTTTTTCTCGAGACAAAAAAAAAAAAAATGCCCAAACCAAGTCAAAACAAAACGAAAAACACAATGATGGGCACAGAAGTGTATACTATTGAATCATCTCTTCTTAATATAAGTAATTCTCCTTGATATAAATGAAAGATTCTTTTCACTGAGCTAATATGATAAATATTTTGTTTCAGGCCAACCTCTACTTAACAGCTCCTGCAGTGACTGAGACTGAAAAGGTAGATTTCTAAATACTACTATCCCCTTCAGAATATTAATTAGGTTGAGTGACTGAGTGAATCACATTCTCAGACTCAATAAAAATTCAACATAAATACAAAACCGTGGCTGACACAACCATAAAGATGTAGCATCAAGCAGACATTAAGAATTATCATTATTTTAAAAGAGTCCTGGGAAATTATTTCTTTTACTATCATAACTCTCTTAAGAAAGTATGCTCCAAGTCAAGATGAAATGAAGCAACTTGGCTCTGCTGGAAACCAATATGCGGAGGGCCATCCCACACAGTTCACAAAGCACTCAATTTTTAATGTGCACTAAAAATGTTACTCTTTTGGCCCCAGTAGAGATCTGTACCCTTCTGATGTTTTCTTGCTGAAATCTAGCCCCAGTTCTCTCCCTCCAACCCCCAAAATGCACACATACACACATAATGTTCTGTACTGTATATCTTAATCAACTGCTTTCGATGGAAAGGAAAGGGAGAACTTGTGATGCTTCTTCACCAGCAATCCTTAGCAGACCAGCCCTCAATATGACAGTGGAATGAGCTTGGGGCATAAGCATGCATTCTTTTGAGGTGGGCAACCTATGGCACTAAGGCCACATTAGATCTTTTTATCACCCTTGACTGCCACTGAGAGCCATGGTGAGAAAGAAACAAAATCTTTAGTGGAAACCCTAAAATTTGTATATTACAAGCAAAAAGAAAACTCCCAGGGCCTGCCCACAGGTGTGATAAGGCCTCATTCTCAGAGTAGAGTTGAGTCTCCTTAAAAACAAAGTATAGTTTTGGCCACAAGAACCATTGTCCTGCCCCTGCAGCATGCTGCCTCTTTTTACTCTCCTCTGTTTCACTACTGGTTGATATTTTGAGGTAGAGAAAAGGTAGGAAGAAACTTGGGGCTCCAGGCTCTTCTGTTGATACTGTAAATAGTCACAGGAGAAAACTGGTTCCTTATTCAGCTCCCCACTCTTTCCTCCAAAAGCCGATGGCTGAGTTGTAACTAAACAGCAGTTCTAGATGGTGGGCTAGGCAGGGGAAAGGGATTGCAGCCAGTATTCATCCATCAGTTCCCTATCCAGCATAGAGTTGTTAGTTAAGAGAAGGAATTCATATATTTATTTATGAATGAAGGGAAGCCTTAAATACACCCAGAGAACAATCTCGTCTGGGGCTTCCTAACCTTTTTGTGCCATGGGCCCCTTTGAGAGCCTAGCAAAAGCTATGGACAGTTCACGGAACAATGTATTTCAATGCACCAAAAGTTATAAAGTGGACATTTTAATTAACACATTTCCACTTGTGTCAAAACATTTACAGATTATGGAACACAATGGTGTTATGGCTCACAATCAGCAATTCTCAACTTTATTAACATAAACAGTTACTGGATTTTGTTTTGCAATTAATAAAATTGTGTAACCAGACTGTTCAGCTGTAAACCCCAAAGCGAGCATGTAACTGATTTTAGGCATATTTTAGATTCAAAGGGCAGTTTGGAATCCTGGGGAGTTAACTCTTTGTGGAATATAAATTGTTCCTAAAAAAAACTATTTCACTAAACCTTTTGTTCCATCATGTGAGAACAGACCACCATTATTCAAAATGCATGAGTGTATTTTGCATAAGCACTGTTAATGTTATGTTGCACTTTTCCTAGTATGGAACAATTTTGCAGACAACCACTCTTCAGATTAATAGGTTAAGGATGTATACTGAAATGCCCCTCTGGCCACGTCCCTCTCTATGACACCCAGGAGAGCCTCAACTATTATGGCAGGCCCAGATTGCGAGATAGAGGTTCATTATGGATGGGAAATAGTTAAATCTGATACTCAGACCAAAGTTTAACAGGACTTACGTTGAAATATTATTTTAGTATTGCCACCAGGCTCATACTCTCCTTGAAATTTTGGTGCCAGATTCATGGATTAGATCAGGAGTTCTTAACCTGAGGTCTACGGCCCTCTCCGTGGATAGGTTTCAGGGGTCCATGAATTTGGATGGGGACAAAAATTACAATTTTATTTTTACCTACAGTATAGTAATATATTACATATTTATTTTTTAATATTCTGATAACCGTAATTGAGTATAATAAGTTTCCTTTGTAATACTATGTAAAACCCTATGTATTCTACTTTATGCGTTGAAATACATTTTTCTGTGACCTGTCCAGAGCTTTTGCCAGGCTCTCAAAGGAGTCCATGGCACAAAAAAATGCTGGATAACATATGACACATATTATTACTGGGCATAGCATTCAGAAGGTCTTCGCTTTCTGTTCTTTTAACATCCAGGTTTTTATTTATTTATTTATTTATTTATTTATTTAGTGGACTTGTCCCCACCCATCTCCCCACAATGGGGGACTCTGGGCGGTTTACATCAAATTAAAATAAGGTCTTCGCTTTCTGTTCTTTTAACATCCAGGTTTTTATTTATTTATTTATTTAGTGGACTTGTCCCCACCCATCTCCCCACAATGGGGGACTCTGGGCGGTTTACATCAAATTAAAATCATAAATACATAATTAAAAGTTATAAAAAGAGAACCACACTTACAGAGATAGAAAAAAGATTAAAAGATCCAAGAGGGCAATAGAGACCACACCAGGCCGCTAAGGGGCTAGCCAACCCCATTTCTGACATCCTCCCTCCTCGCCCCAGGCCAGATGGCAGAGCCAGGTCTTCAAATCCCTCCGAAAGGCCTGAGTGAGGGGGCCTGTCTCACCTCCGGGGGCAAGATGTTCCAAAGGGCAGGGGCTACAGCAGAGAAGGCCCGCCTTCTGCATCCCCCCCATATGCGGTCTTTTA